AATTGCCGTCGTGAAACACTGGAACGGCAAAACAATTACTATACTAAGAATTTTTTTTTCCTATAAAAAGTATTTGTCAAAATAATAGTTGTTATTACAGCTAAATATATTCGATATACCTACTATAGATGGTATCAACTATAGAACCATGGTCTACACCAAGCTGAAAAAATAATTAATAAGTATAATTCAAGTAATCAACTTGTTTGTTTAGGTATTTTAACTTTCATTAAAACAGCATTGTTTCTCTACTAGAAATGTGTAATAAAAGACTAAATATAAACATGATAATTATTAATTAATAATTAGTGAATTTCAATTCTGGGACAATATTCTGTCGCGAAGGACAATACATTTTATCGGTAAGCTAAAAATTCAAAATTGGTAGTCCCGTCTAAACCGGGACTTATTAGTTATGTATAAATTATTGTATTTTCTATAAATTCTATTTGCATAATAATTAGGATGAATATTCTGTAATATATAACATTTTATCTTACATTTTTTTATTTTTAGGGCAATCTTAGGATTTTTTACTGTATTTATACTTTATAGTTGTAGTTAAGTGCTCTTTTTTATGGCTAGCAAATCGTGAGATACAAAATAAATAATAAATATTCAAGATTTAAATAATAGTTAATCAATTTATGAATATTAGCAGACCAGCTAATAAGTGATAATAGTGATATATTGCAGTGTAGGTGCATGTGCATGCTATGTAGAAATTTAGCGCGGCACAAAAATTCAAAGAAAATGTTAAAAATATATGAATATATGTTTGATACTTATACTCAAAAACAAAATATTTTTAAAAGCTCCAAGTCGTACCTATTGACTTGTTTAAAAACAAGACTGAAAAGCTTATACGAGTCCTATAGTAATAATGGAATAAGGTAAACAAAAAAGCAGCTGCACATCGTATACGCCTACGCCACAACCCATGGGTTCAGTTTATAGTTTGTGTATTTAAAAGTGTTATCAAGTCCTTTAAATTAATTTTTAACAAAAAAGAAAATGAGGAAATGATTCCAATTTACAAAAATGTTATTAATTTTGGGTATAATAATTTAAGTATTCATTCAATTGATATTATACTGAAATTAAAGTATTAAAACAAATAATATCTATTATCCAAAGTCTCGCATAAACAATAATTCTGTCTATTAGTTTCCCTCCTTACTGTGCCAAATATATCTTATAATTGAATAACATTAAATAACATATAATATACATGAGTACAGCTAGTAGCTACTATATATATGTGTGGCCATTGCTCATTGGTGAAGCTTATGGGGGAGGACTAAGGCTTTCCAAGTATAAAATTAAACTCACGAAGTATACTGCGAATAATGATTATGAAAAATAAACACTATTCAAACCTGATAATAATAACGTATTATCTATGGACATATTACACTTAAGCTAGTTAATTCAAATTATTTTAGTACTGGTGTATTTAAATAATAATGCTTATGAAAAAATAGAGCCAATATAGGTACCTACTTAATACTTTAGCCCTCCAAATATAAGCTTATCAAGCAACGCTTATAATATGTGTGTACGTGGCTATAGTGCTATATACGTGGTCACGTCCTACAGGCGACTAATACAAAATAACAGATCTATATAATCTTAATATTATTATACTTATACATACATACCTAAATAATATATCATAAATTAAATTTGTGCTTTTGTTAACATATATTATAAGTGACCTTAGATAGGTAATATACAGATATTATCTAGGAATGGACAAATAGCCATAATTATAAATATGTGGTATGATACTATATATTTGACTATAATATCATAATGTTTTAGAAACTATAAATAATATAACATATATTATAAATGTATAAACTAGGTAGGACAGGTAGGTACTATACACTAATTGTACTGTATAGTACGACGTGTATTGATTATGTATACTCATGATAGAAATAATTATATTTATCATGATTACACTGATAACCTATGCAGTGACAACACGTGCAACAAATTGGTTGGACTCCGATTACGTACCAAACAACTGGTATAATAGGTATACGATATTATATAGTGAGTTGTAAGTGCTGGAAATATGTGAAATTATCAGAGCAGGAGTTAAAACCTCAACATTTCAAAACCCATTAAGTACTTAATTTTTTTGGGGGGTTAATCGGCCCCTAGGACCTCTCGTCTCACAACCAATTCTCCAGCCTTCTCTATATTCATCGCCAAATTCTTCCAGTTTGTTCCGCCTCCTATAGATACTTAATATTTTAATTAAATAGGACACTCATTTTGTAATCGAAGTCAAATCCTTAGTACCTATATATTTCAAAAATCATTGATAATATTTCAATTAAACTTTAAATTTGGAGCTACGATTGTATTAACCAGCAAGCCCGTTCAGACATATTTTGGGAACTGGGGTAGAATCACGGAAGAGGCCCTTTTTATCTAACTTTTATTTCAGCTTATTAAATCTAGGACCTTTAGGTACATACTTTTCACAAAAATGTGCTGATAGCTCTTAAAGTCTATGGACTATATAGGTCTTACACTTACTCAACGTGACTTTTTTGGTTCCCCAATAATGGTCTTCGGTGGCCTGGGTCAATTTTGACTCAGCGACCCCCCTCCCCTAAACTGCCCAGTTAATTGGATTTGAAATGATGTGTATATATTTTGTTTTTCAATTTTTGTGCCGTCGTCATCTTTTGAAAATAAAGTAAAATATGCCCTGCAGTAATAAAATTAATAATTACACAAAATTTGAAATATTTACGTAAAAAAGTGTTGGATTCAATCGATTTTGTTTTTATGTTATTAATTCAAAAATGAATAACTATAGTCTATAGAGGCTTGACATTTTAACCAAATATTATTTATTTTCTATACTTTATGATGTTATAATTTTTTAAATTTTGACTCTTCTTAGTATTTAATAACATTTGGAATGAAATTATAGATTTTTAAAATTATTTTTTAGATTTATGTTGATAAAATAAGGTGTTCTACAGCAATTAAAAAATGTAGAAAATATATATTCGAAAAAAGGATTTGATTTTTTTGAAGTATTTGAAGTTAAAATTTGATAAAGTAAGATTTTTAACTAAAAATTTAAAATTAATAACAATCTTTCTGATTGTAATTATTTTGTTTCAATTCGGAAAACATTAGATAATCGTAGAGTTTTCCAACTTTTCACCATTATTATGCGTGTGGCGTATCTATAATAATTATTACCTGTTATACAGGTAGATTTCCAAAATATTTATCCTAATTTTAAATTTTCAGCATCCTTAACTGTACCTACGTCAGTGGCATAACTAGGGCTAAAATGATTTATGGAAATCATTACAAGCAGGATGATATACATAAATAGATATATCTATTGTTGTATGGCCTGGTGAAAAATTAAAATGCCCTTCTTGAAACTCTGCACACCTGAAATAACCAATAATAATGTCTCTGTTTAGATATTTATCTCATAGGTGTTTATTGCAGATCATAAGTATAAAATAACACAATTATAGAGGATTACATAATATCAAATGTATAGTCAGTACTCAGTGTAATATATTAGGTACCTATAATATTATATGACGTATTATAAAATCTACTGTTTTAATAACACGAATTTCTGATGATTCTGTATGCATAGCCCATAGGTAGTATAGACATAAATAATAACAGATACATTTACAATATGGTAATAAATAACAACAGGTTGGAAAGATTATATAATTATAGGACATATTATATATGTAGTAAAAGATTAAAATGTCTGATTAATGCCTATATATATATATATATATATATAATATATATTATTTGCATACAACAGGTGGTGTGTACAACGTTAACTATGATGTACCTATACGAAGTATACGTGTATCACATATTTGCATATGATATCCGAATATCGAATAGTTTCAACATTAAACGTAAATTAAAGTAATTGCCTGCATGTATATGGATGATGGAGCTCATAAAAATGCTCTATCATGAAATTAAACTGTAGATAATAATTAGGACCTGTACATATAGACATATAGTGTATTAATTTAAAACTGAAAAAATAATTAAAACAATATTAAACACGTAATAATAAATATACCCAGGTAAAGGTAATTAAATATTGATAAGAGAAAAAATAAACTACATAATATTATATTATTTATATTGTTATTAATGATTTTTAATTAAAATATATTGTTATTAAAATTGTGTATAGGTAGGTATCGGGTAGTGACATACTATACTACTATAGTAGATAACCCCTATTGTCCTACTATATTATTATTTATTAATCTATAAGGCATTATTAATGTATTATAATCTAAAATAAGTAGGTATCGATAAGCCGACACTTTTTTTGAAGCGTATAATATTATTTTAATTAATATAATATCAATTCAATATCAATAATGTGTTCAAATATTATATTATAAAGGTAACCAGTTCCGTCCAACGACAGTTTAACAGAGGTTGTTGGTCTGGATGGTTCGTTCCCTTTGGCAACATTGGTCTGAGCAAATGTGTAAGCACGTACCTATTTAGTGTAATTCAAATAAGTAATAATCATCACTCACATAGTCATTACAACATAAAGACACGTTATAAATTGTTTCATTATTACTTCACAATTACTTCTATGTACGTGGTACACCTGCTATAATATATAACTACATCAACGGAAAACAGGAGATGTGTGTATCTACATTTTTGCTCCTACCTTTGGGACTTGTCAATAACTGCCCCTGTGTATGCATATCGTCCACATTTATTTTAGAACCCAACCTTTGAGTCTTGATCTAAAATTCAAGTAAAAAAGGCATGTTTTTTTTAAAAAAATAAGAAATTAAAAAATAATAGATATTACCCATACACGTCGCTCGTAAGTAGGTAATATCATTACTATCATTGATTACAATAGGTACTTTGGAAGTATTAAACATATAGCTAATCCATAGTAAGTAATATAGGTGAATTATAGTCATTAAGCCATATAGGTAAGGTATATAATTTATTTAAAAATAATATATGTTCAAACTGACACTATAGACAGCAGTGCTGATATGAAAAGAAAGTTATTTCAGATTACATAAATATAGGAGTGCAGATAGTAAATACTGTCAACGATTGTATTGATCAATTATTTATTTATATAACAGCATAAAATCAATAATAGCTGGTAACTTATTTATTATGACGGAAGCGTATGAACACCAATAAACCTTTTTAGACACCAGTTGTATATGCGTAGTGCCTGTCGACCACCTATACCTATAAAATAATATTAAAATAATTAATAATATTTAAATACTATTAAGTAACTAATAACAAGTAAACAAAACGTATAGATTATCTATATATATTATTGTAAATGTATATAGTCATTATATATTATATATATACGATATTTCGATATACCTATACCTACCTATGAATTATGACATATTACTTATGTGCATTATACATAAAACATATAAAGTATATATTATATGATTATTGATTATGAATATGGGAGTGACTGGGTAGACGGACGCCGACTCTACCTATATTATAATTTAGAAACAATTTGTGATACACACATGGTGTTTTATTTTTAAATGTTTGATTTGCATTGATTTTATACTAGATTGATAATAAAACAAATAAATACTAAAATAATGAGAGAAAAAATCATGTGTGTATACAGACATACAGTATACCATATACATCTCAATTAATTAATACAATTTACTTTAGGGTAATTTTGGTATATAGTACATAGCCACATAGGTATAGGTTATAGGTATATATATTATATAAAATATACATACACCTATAGTATACACATCATCCTATAGTATATAATACCATATTACCATATCGTGTAAATAATAAAGTCTTTAAAAAGTCGTTAACACTCCTTCCCGAAACTCTACTATTATAATTTATAAACTCCAATTTATAACAAGAAATGCGCGAAAAATTGTTGTAGGTACACAAGTGCCTATAATTTCATTAGGTACATTTGGTACATACATAATTATCATTTATCTATATAATATGTTAAAACAATAGTCTACAGTAATCAATTATTATGAGCATAGAAATTGTACGCGATATTAAAATTATTAGTGATTAGTCCCGTGCTCATATTTCTTTTGCGTTGTCTACAATACTCGATAAATCATAAACCGTGATCAAGCAAGCATAGTAATACATTAAATTGTTGAACAACAACACGTCGATTTCAATACAATGGTAGGCACCTACGTGGTATTTATTACTATTTTATTATTCAGAACGGCCGGCATTTAGCCAAGATTGTTAGACAATGTACATAAAAAATGAAAAAAATACTTTACAATAATAAACCTTGTACCGCACTATATAGTTCAGTATTTATTGTTTTACCGGTGGTCGATATAGGCGTACCAAAATTCGCTCGCGGTTCGGAGCGTTTTTCGTTTTGTAGTATCCACATTCGTTGTTTTGGTCGGGTGTAAACAATATTGTATAGATTTATAAACTCATAATATATATTTCCATAGGTACTCGCATAGGCATAGCATTATGTCGGCGGGGAGAAAAATTTGCGCGGTAATGACTCGGACGGCCGTGTACGTGTTTGACAAATATCACTTCGCCATCAACACGTTCAGCGGATCAGTGATAATGAGCGTCGGCGACATCGCACAACAGAACGTGGAGCGTTACCACGGGTTGTCCGACGGTTACGACTGGTCGAGAACCGGCAAGTACCTATGCATTCGATGGGCAACCGTATGATCAATATTTGGGACGGGGGAAAGGCTAAAAAAATGAATATTGCACTCGAGTCACGGATCTAGGAGATGGAAAAACCATTGGTAAAATAATCTACGAGTAAGAAAACCGAGATTCAAGTTGCAGCGTGTACAGTTGTAATTTGCATAAATGCGTATATTATAAATTATTAACATAATAACATACGTTTCCCGACTGCCGTGTACCTGTATATAGAATAATATATAAGCGTACGATAAATTGTTACCAGTACCAGTTAAATCAAATAAAAGTATCTAAGTAGCTTGAGAGATAATATGTACCAACTAAAATGTAATATTTCAATAGCATTCTTTGTACCGACATTATGGCTTACTATGCATATTACTAATTAAATAATATTAGACAAGTTTAACGAGTGACGCGGCAATCTGTAATCGGAATAGTGCGCATTTGTTTTGCGTGTAATTAGGAGTGGGTTTTCCGAATATCATTTCGTATAGATTTTTCACAAGCAATCGTTGAAGACAGTAAGCACTAAGCATGTTGTGCAGAAGGCTAAATCTACTCTGGGAGAAAAAGCTCCCCTCCCACTGGCAAGGTCCGATGGGTGACAACATTTTGTCGTTGGGTGTTTCGTAAATTTTTAATGAGTGTGTACCGTTTGTGTTGATGTGGTTCCGGACGTGTTTAGCGCGAATCGCAGTCATAGGCAGCATCCTGGGATCAGTCGGGCATATGTTTTACCGGACGCTAGACAACCGATATCCGGCCAGGGACGCGTTCACAATAGCCAAAAAGATATTCATCGACCAAACGGTGTGCACACCACTCAACATTGTCGTGTTCATCTACGGGTTGGGTTTGTTGGAACACAAGACTTTGGCCGAGATCAATGAAGAGTTTAAAGACAAATGTGCAATGATATTTTTGGTAAGCTGCAGCCGTTGAGTATATAGTTTGTCTAAGACTCCGTGAGCATTGAGCAACACTGTAGGGATACAGTGAATGATGGACAATTGGCTTCATTAAATCATCTTTGTTGATTTCAAATCGATAGATACATTTGACGGTTTTAATCAAAAACAAATAGTAATAAAAGATCAAACTGTCTACAGGGGGAATGTGGAAATAATATTTTATTTAGCACAAGATTTTGTCAGATCAATTTTGTTAATATTTTCTTTGTTATAAAATTATTATAATGCATTCAAATTTAAAATTTTATTTTCTATAAATTATAAATAAACATTTGCATAACATAATATTATTGATTATAAATAACTTATTACGTTACATGTATGATTTATTTAGAAATGCACATGTTTTTATGTTAATTATTAAGTTACACTACCTATTTGGCTAACATTCAAATATGGTACTAAAATAGTTGTTAACATAGTGGTCTCATAGTAAAAATAAGTGCCAACGATTTTTTTTTGACAAAACAAAGAAGTAAAATATTAATTAACCAACTATTAGTAATTGAGACTTTAAGAAATTCCACTGTTAAAATTAATTCTTATAGATTTTTATAGATTATTTACTTAACAAATAATTTTTATTTGTAGTTAATAATTAAAATAAAATATATTTCTTTAATTTCCAAAAACTTTATTATTACTGGATACTTTTAGGTCGATTGTGCTGTTTTTGTCCCAACACAATTCATAAACTTCAAGTTTTTAGACCCAAAATACAGACTTCTATTTACAAACATGGTTTCTATTATGTACGATACTTTTCTCTCTTATATTAAGTATACAGTAAGTAGTTTTTTGGTTTCAAATAGCATTCAACTTGCATGGCAATAATATAAAACAATATTACTTAATAGAATATGTTTAAATAATTTTCAGCACGATATTCTCAAATTGATAGAAAAACAAAATAACAATAACAATAAAAATTGAAATGCAAAGGCAATCTCAACAAAAAGTAAAACATATTTTCAGATATAATATAAATACTTGTATTAAAAACTAAGGAGAATAAATAGTTGATGTATGTTATTTAAAGCAAACCATATTATTTCGGAAATATGTTTTTAAATATCATATTATTAGTTGAGATCATGGACACCAGAAGCAACCAGTTGTCTAGCAAGCCAATCAAGTCCATCATGAAGACCAGCACCACTCTGTGCGTCACAAGCTTGTATATGCCAACTACGTCCACAGCACAATTTATACAAGCCAAATAATTCAGTAATGGTTTCAATTGTAACACATCCATGAATGTCCTTAGAAATAGACAAAAAAATTAATGATTTTATAATAATTGATAAATTTATTTAAAGAAAAATAATATCATACTTGTTTGTTTGCTAAAATTAATAATGCAGCATCTTTCAATTCTTTTTCTGTCATCAGCTTAGATAATTCGTTAGATGATTCCAATAGTCTCTGTTGGTCACTGGAATCAATCACGAAAACAACCGCCTAAAAATCACATTCAGTGTTATTATAACAATACACAAGTAAATACTCTAGAGTCAATGCATATTTTATACCTAAATAATGCAAGATAGTTTTAATAGCATTGTTGTTAATGCTTATTCATTATTATAATATTAATACCCATAAACATTAAGTTATGTTAACTTATTCGTTTGAAAATAAAATATTGTATAAACAAACCTGTGTATTGAGATAGTAATGCTTCCACAATGGTCTCAATTTAGGTTGCCCACCGACATCCCATATTGTAAACTTCATGTTTTTATAGTCAACTGTTTCTACATTAAATCCAAGGGTGGGAATCATAGTCATAAATTCATTTTGTTTCAATTTGAAAAGTACACTAGTTTTTCCGGCTCCATCCAATCCTAGAGTGACAACACGAATTTCCATTTTTGGTCCAATATGCACCCTATTATCCTATGATGATTGAACAATTTATTAAATTGAAAATTATAAATGGTCAAGTACTGACTTTTGTAAAAGTTATAGGTATACTAGGATCCGGTTGTAATTGTTCTGGACCAAGTTCAGTAAACATCTGTTTATGTTTTTCAATAACATTTAGTGCTTGATTAATGTCTGCACTGGCAGATATAACACGGAAATCATCCTGCCGAACAGCCTGCTCACATTGCACACATATGACAGCCACTTGTGATAATGATGATGCTAAGTCTTCTTGCAAGCTTCTCAGTGAGCCTAATCTTTCTCTTACATGTGTATCAACAGCACTTAAGGCAGCCGCTTCTTGTACTTGTAATGTTTCGCGTAGATGTTGGAAATACAACTGGACTCTAGCACGAGCTAAAGAGCATGTACCAGGATTACTTTCTTCATCAACTGAGCCATTTGAATCCAAACCTTCTAAACGTAGCATTACTTGATCTAAAAAATAGGATAACAATGTAAACTGAACAAAAGTATGTTACTATGATTACAAATTTAAAAAGACAATTAATTTAGGTAATTATTTGTAATTAATATTACACATGCTCACCTAATCTTTGAATGGTGTCATTCATTTCTTCCATTAAATTCCGCATCAAAGGCCCAGCACTTTTCACTTTTGATCGTATAGTTTCTGCTTCAGTTTCTACTAATGTATGCTGAAATACACATAACATATAGATAGCACACAGGATATGAATTAATATTTGATCAAACATTGAACATTTCTTAACAGGAAGACAAACTCGTATAATATGTATCCATCTTATAATTGTACAATACAGCAAATTTGAATTCAGAAGAACCAATTTTTTTTACTGTTAACTTAATATTAGACTGAATTGACCAATATTATCAAGTTTAAAGGTTGGAATAATATATGAGGCACCTCAAAGGCTATCACTTAATTTTTTTTAGATTATTAAGGGAGTTGCATACATTTTAAAATTGTAATATTTTGTATAGTTTAAAAATAACATACTTTGAAATGAAAATATCAATAAAAGGCTTTGAGATGTTTTAGATATTTCGCCTTTAAATTTGATATTAGGTTAGATCACTCTTATACATTATAAATAAATATATTTTTATTATTTCTTATATTTTAACAGCTCTAATATTAAAGGTAACAATATAAATATGGTACTGCTGAATACAATATTTTTTATGTTTTTAAGACAGACAAAACATGCAGATTTGGTGTTTTCTTAATACCTTATGATTTTTATGTGTCCCATAATCTTTACACACAAAACACATTAAAGGAGGTGATGGTTGATGGCAACTATCTTGCAAGCAAGTAAACTCGGCCACATGAGATGGATGTAATGGACATCGAGGTCTTTCTTGTGGCTTTTCTGATATAGGAACACGGCGATGTTTAGCTAATGTCCGTGTACTGTGAGTTTGTTCAGAACAATAAAAACATAAGTTCGTACAGCATACAGTGCAATAAAGAACAGCTATATGGTTTTCATTTTCATCACAAATTATATGCAACTGTAAATTATACAAAATACAAAAATGATTAAAAATGTCAAGTTAATATATTTCTTCGGGAGGTCTTCAAAACATTGAATGTCAAAATATTGAACGATAAAATCTTGAACATAAATTTATGTCAACTTCTTGAACATTCAGAAACTTGGACAACAAAATCTTGAACAAATAAATAGTTTCCGCAAAACTTTGAACTTTTTATTTTGTTATTATTAAGATTATCAGCGATTGTTGGAAGGTATAAATACCTTAATATATTTAGTTTTTACCCTGTGACCTACATGAGGTGGGTTTGTGCAGCAAGTCAGGGGATATTTTCGATTAGCAGAGCGGAGCGACGGCGCCGAGGAGCGTAGTGACGAGTGCCGCTAGCATAGCATCATTGACACACTTCATCAAAAAATTGATATTTTAAATTGCATGTTTGAGCATTTCCCTCTTAAAGTGAATTATTAATTATTGCTAGTTTTTAAAACAGTTTTTTTATCATTTTTATGGTAGTCGAGATAACTGACAAGTACCAGCGAGGGATATTGTGATATCGAGTTGTTTTTTAAATTTTTTTAACATTTTTGATTTCAATTTTTTGAATTTTTAAACAGCAAGTACGATAATTAGAATCTTTATGCATACTTCCATCCATCATAAAAACATACAATTAAAAAAAAAAAATCAAAATGTAGTTTTTTAATGTTTTTATCGTAGATAACACGTATTTTTGAAAAATTACTATTTTATTGTTTTTTTGGTATAACTTCCAAAATAATGATTTGCGAGAATTTTTGAAATAGACTTCGGTGTTCAAGATTTTGAAATTCAAGGTTTTGAATGTTCAAGATATTGACATAAATTTATGTTCAAGATTTCGAAGTTCAACTATTTGACATTCAACCATATAAATGGCGTCCATTTCTTCTTCTATACAGTAGGCTAATTACTTGTTCTTCTTTTTCCATCGCTTCTGAATTTAAATATGAGTTAATATTAATTTCTGCTTTATTGCTTCTTTGTAAACGTTCAAGCAGTTCTAATAATGCAAAATTCTTTTTTAAACCCCAAACTCCTGAGGGTCCTATAGGAGTTGCTTGCCGGTCGAACGGACATTGAACTGAAGAACATCGTTGGTACAAACGTAACAAACATGAATGACAAATGGTATGTCCACAATAGAGTAAACGCGGAACTTTATCTCCTTGGAGAGTGAAAATATCTTCACATACTCGGCATTCCAAAACCTAAAAATAATAAAATATAAAATAAACATAGATACAGTTATAATAAATATATGGATACATATAAACTGTTATACTAGCAAATATAATATAGTACCAAATGTCATCTATTAATCTGAATTAAAAAATCACAACTACGCATATAGGTATAAAATTTTATGTAAAACTAAATGTGCATTTAAATTTTGAATGACAAACAATTATACAAATAATAAATATGTCCTACATCTAATAAACAACCAAGGAAACTAATAACCAATTATATCTTACGTCTGATTTGTCTGGTATTGATGCTATTCGTCCGAACGAAAGTGAATTATAATCAAATGAACTACCACTCATTTTAATTCATTGAATACCTACTTCAATATAAGAAATTTCAAATTATTAAAATCTATTATCAATTAATATTTAAGTCCAAATTCGAGGAAATTAAATAAAAATGTAAGTATATCGTCTTAAATATCGATCATCATTCATCAACATTGGTAAAAAGTTAAATGTAAGAAACTAAGAACTAAAAATGAATACGGAATACTTTATGTTGATAAAGTATTATCATTCATGCTCAGCTGTTTGGTATTTTTGTGATTATTGTTTGTGAATACCAGTTGTGACATAGAAGATAGACCATAGACGTAGAACATTATGTTCTATGGTTTTGAGCACGATAAAAATAGTATCTATGGTTGCACAACGAGCACGGATATGACGGCACCACAGCAGGCTGATATATAGAATTATATTCTATTATAATTATATTTTATTCTATATATCAGCTGTGGACGGCACTGAATGTTCTTATCAAGAATTTAAAAAAAGTCGCGTGATACTAGCGCCCTCTATGACCTGGTATATCATATACCCGCGATTATATAAATTATAAATATGTTTGTAAAGTTATGGTAACATGGTATAAGAGTTCTTACTGTAGAGGGCGCTAGTAAAACGCGACTTTTCGTCAGATTTGATAAGAACATTCGGCGCCGCTCAATGCTGTATCTATAGCCGTGGATCCAATATAGGCCGACGTGCAACCCACGAATTAAGATATACAGGATGCCGAACGACAGCCTGTTATCAGTATTTCTGTGAAGTCGAAAGTTTCCAGGTTCCCAAATTAACTTATGGCGCTGAAATGGTTACGGTGGCGAAATTCTTAACTAATTTTGTATAATTACGACTATCAAGTATCATAATAAACATAATCACATAAGTAAAATCATGAGTAAAATATTAATTATTAAGATGGTATACAAGACATATTTCTCAACAAATGAATAATATTATAATAGGTACAATAAAAGTTTTCTTTGATATAATAATAATTCATTTGATAGGTATGTAAAATACTTTTTTATTGGTTTTAATTACTAGTGTCAATATTCAATTTGTATAAATAAAACTTTTTAAAAACTATTTTGATACCAATTTGGCTATTTTTTTTTTAACTTTGTTAGTGCTTTTTGTTTTGTGATTAGTCATGTATGCATATTGTCTCATCCTCATTGCAATATATGATGTAAATATAAATTCAACCATATCTTCTTTGTGGATTGCACACGGAAAAGGAACCAGGTAATTATTATTAAAAAATTCTTCAACTGTGTCGTCAAACACATTTTGACTGTCTTTGTGTTTGACAAAACACTTCTCAATTAGTTTTAGAAGCATGAAAAAATTGCTATCAGGATGTGTTAAGTAACCACGAGACTTCAGGTTAAGAAGCTTTGCAGCCTGTGTATTGGAATGGTTGTCAATGTTTTTTATTCCAGATAAACATGCATTACAACTTGTTTTCTTGCTTACACGTTTTGCTAAATATCTATTATAATGTAACAAGTAATTATTGATTTTAATTTATAAAACATCTATGTCATATTTACCCTGCTACATAATAAACGACACATTCAAATGTTTCAGCATCAGCAAAATCATTATCCACAAATATCTTATCAGCTCTATTTTTTATTAATTTTCATGTAATCATGCCCAATACCAAAATAAAATATTAGTAAATTTATCATAGTTTATATCTTTATTCACATATATTCATAATATTCATAATGCATTTTATAATGTAATAATTACAAATCCAACATTAATACAATTTCATAAAAGTGGCGGGAAATTAACATGATGATAATTTTTATGATAAAGATACGTAAAACTATAATTCTTGATAGATGGTAGCACTGTTCGCCACTGTGGCTAAAAAGCGCTGTAAGTTATTCTGGATTTTTGGAAACTTCCGTCTTCACTTTATAAGCCCTCGTTCGGCATCCTGTATATCTTAATTCGTGGTGCAACCATAGTATCAGATCTATATCCGTGGTTTTGAGCATGAAGAAGTCACGGGTACAGATTTCCCGATTTTGATAAGCGAAAATTTTTTAATGATATCTCGATATAAATCTGTCCCAGCTCCGTATGCAGAATACACAAACAAGATTTTCAAGAAGAAAAATTCGATACGTATCGCTTGTATACTGCACGTGTAACTTCTTGAACGCTCAAAATTGCCTCGATACGTATCGATACACTCCAAATTCTTCCTTGAAAATCTTGAAACTTCTACGTCATAACTCATAACATAGAACATATATGGCTCATAAAAATGAATTTGACTTTCCAGTAATTTTTTTTTTATTAAATGTTGAAAAACTTAAGAGGACGCTACTCATGCATTAACTGTACTGCATTCTACACGTATGACTTAGAACATTTCCGTTCACTAGTTTCAATAGTGTGCTGTTAGTTTTAATATTAGAGTGAATTGATCAATTGACTTAGTTATTATCAAAGTTCTAGGTAAGAACATTAATATCTATGCTTAAGCGTCGGCGGATTTTTGAATATTTTAATTTTCAAGCGAGATATGAGCATTATGATTCGGGTTGTTTCACATACTCGTATCTTGCTTGAAAATGAAAATATCAGAAAATCCTTGAAGCTTAAGCACAGATAATGTTCTTACCTAAAAGTTTGATAATACTTAAATTCACTCTAATATCAAAACTAACGGCACACTATTCAAACTTTTTTTTTTGTTATTAAAGGATTTTTATTCAATCTGTTACAATAAAGTAGAACAATAAGAACAATTGATGAATTAAATAAAAATAAACATTATTGTAAAAACAATATTTATCTTTTTGCTCAGAATCTAAAATGCATAAATAAATTATACTCAGAAAATAAAATGTATTTTAATCTGATAATATAACCTAAAATATACTTCCAATTTACCGACCGACTTACTAACCGTAGATACATGACATTTTCACTGAAAATTTGTGTAAGCATTTTGTATACACCATACAATTTTGATTTGTGTTGAACTATTTATAGGTAAATGAAATTTTCGATAATTATTTGTTTTTTTTTTATCCCAAGTTGATAAAAAAATTTACACTCGGTTCAAAAACTCAAAAATATAATAAAAGGTTCCTTGTAAGCTGTTGTTAATGGAAATCAAAAAAAAAATTAAGCGTTAATCTACAATTTGAGGGGCTAGGTTAGACTTAGCCCCTCTCAACAATCACCATCATGATTATAACAAAAAATAATAATGTTATTATAACATTTATAATAATTAATATGTAAACATAAAAAGTCCCGTTTATAAAATTGATCAGACATTTTTTTTTCATTATGGTTAATGGAGACCCAATATTCTAACGACTGATAACTCTCTGTTACTGTTAGTATTTATATATTATATTACAGTCACAGAATAGATTAAATTTAATCCATTTTGTCCTACAGTATAGAAGATAAACACTGAAGTTGTTGGTACAATGTCCAATATAAATAATAATATAATATTGGATAAATTTACTGTAAACGGGATAGTTGGGTTGTTACTTGAAGTAGCCGGTAGGTACTTATCTACCTAAGTAGACATTAAAACAACTATCAAATTTATTGGTTATTGAAATTGAGTTTATAATGTGCTGAGTGCTGACATGACCTACACCAAATTCAAACATCCAACAACCGATAAAGTAACTGTAGTATACCACTTATTTATTATACGATACACCATTCAGTCTGAGAAAACTGTGGTGCCATGACCTCAATTTATTTCCATTAAATATAAGCAGTGATGCCCCTTCGTATTGGTGTTATGATATAATTTCATTGTCATAACAAAATTAATTTATTATCATTACATATTTATTTCATCATTGTGAACACTTTAAACACTTGCAACTGATAGGTTAGATAACTTGGACCAAATAGTTTACATAGGTCCTCATAATGCCTTATTACATGCTGAATTACTTCAAGTGTTTTTTTTTTATATTAATATGAAATGGATGATTTTTGAAATGTATTTTGTGGTTTGAGTAAAAATAAAAAATAGATCTATTGACCTATTTTTCAAGTACACTAATAGTAGTTCTTCAAGTAAACAAAATGTGTTGGATGGGTATTTGTATTTCAAAAAGCCTTGATACTAGATCTAACAATAATCAATAATTTAGTGAACGTAAATTTATCTGAAAATGTATAACATTATCTATCTCCAGTCATCACCAAATGAACCAACTATTTGAGAAGAATGCAAGTCACAAAACATCACAAATTGAGTTATCGAGTGGAATGTGTTATCAAATTGTTAACTTCTCCAGGGGAAATAACGTCAAAAATCAAGCCATTGAACCGGGAATCGAACCAGTTTCTCGCTTGCCAGGCGATTTCTCTACCACTAAGCTACCCAACCGCTTAGATCTTGACGCTATCTACCTCCAAGTTAAAAGGAGTTTACATTCGACCATCCTGCGTCCTTATAGACAGATCATGTGTGAACATAAGAAAAAAAAAATTTAATTTTACCACTGTAAATAATAAGTATGAAAGAGAAATAACAATACATCACTGGTAGCTTAAAAACAGTTTTTTCTTGTTTTCTCCGTATTACCTTTTATTGACTTAAGTTGCATCTCAAATAGGTGGTTCAAATATTACACAATATATTATAAATTCATTTGATATAGGTACACAATTGCATAAGGAATACTCATAATAAAAATAAAATTATATTTCAATTTTCAAAACTATTTTATTTTAAATATAAATAATAAAAAACAGCAAATAAAAATTAAATTTGAAAAAAAGAGTACAGGGCTATTTTAAGCACAATCAGAAGTAAAATATTGGAATTTTTTTAAATTTTAAACATATTTGAAAATAACTATCTCCCACTAAATTAATCAGTCGCATTATAATTTGATAACTTTATAATTTTTTTTATAATTACTCTACTTTAGCTAATAATTCTGATTCTTTGAAAATTGTGTAAGAGTCATCATCATCTAATTGAATTGGAGTACCACCGTACTCTGGTAACAATACTCGGTCACCAACATTAACATCAATTGGTACTGGTTTTCCATCCTAAAATAATAATAATCATCGGTAAAAATTAATCATCCATTTAGGACTCTACTCATTAGTAAAACAGTTGACGTACCTGATTTCTTGCTCCAGGTCCTACAGCTATAACAGTTGCCTCACGAATTTTCTTTGAAGCACTTTCTGGCAACATTATACCTCCTTTACTTTGCTTAACAGCGTCCAAACGTTTGACCAAAACTCGATCAAAGAGTGGGCGGAACTTGGTTGCAATTGAAGCCTGTTTGAATAAAATCAAAGCAAAATGAGAAACGCAACAAAAAGTTTACACCATGAGACACTACTAATTAGATATTATGTGTCTATGTCATAATAATATTATACATAGGTACAAGTGTGATTGGAAGAGGAAGACCAAGGATGGAATACATGACACAAATCATAAGGAAAGGATAGCTACAAAGAATTTAAGGAATTAAGCTATAGCCTATAAAAGGGGAGCACGAAGAACTGTCAAACCAATCAAACGATCGAATACGCAAAGAAGACAAGTGTGAAATTGTGATGTGCCGAAACCACACACGCTTACATGGTTAGACAATAATTTTCGGAATAATGCCGGACGAAATATTATACTATGCTACGTTTTAATATTAATCAAGACATCTTACCATTTTAATTTGATAGTGGCTTTGGTAGTTTTAATGAAAAATGACGATTGACGGAGAGTTAGAACAGAGAGATATTAGAAATCGGTAATGAGAATATTTAATTTTAAGGAATAGGTTAAAGTAAAACCATATTATCCATATGAAAAGTACAAGGACGTTATCAGACCGCAGATAAAAGTAGGGTTATAAAATATATTCATGGACTAAACTTTTTGGAAATTAAATCATTTTTTCTTTAATAAATGTTATAAATACAATTTAGGTGACAATGTTTATGTATCATGATGAACTACAGAATAATTTCATTTTAAAATCCAATAATGATATGTTAAAAACTGTGTGAATTAAAAACAACTAAACCAATTTATTTTTGTTCAACTCATTATTATCTGGAAGAATAACTCAATAACTTTGCTACCAGCGGGCCATTTGGTGGTCATTCAAATTGAAATGTCGATATTTTAAATAAATAACATTAACAAAAATAATATAATTTCTTTATTTTTATTCTTAGGAGATTGAAAAATTATGTTTTTTTTTTCATCTCGACACTTTCAGTTTTCTAATAAAATAAATGCTCCAATCGTAAACTTTGAGGCCTTGAGGGAGGTTTTTGACTTTCTGTAATCAAAATTTGATCTAGTTTGTACTTTGGTGGAAAAAAATTAAACATTTCTCAGTACTTTTTTTAAATTATCAAGAAAAAAATACGAACATTTTTGTGATAATTGTAATATTACAATTACAATAATTATTCAGTAAACAACAAGTTGGACTATCTTCATTCTTCGCTCTCAGAATCGTTTTTCGCGTACGATAATAGGTCATAACTTGTGAAAATATATCATTTAATTCAATTTTAACAAATCCATAAATCAATTGACCCAATCAACAACGAGGCACACCGCACACTCCACACTTTTTGTACAGGAAAATGGTTACACACTCGCCTATAGGTATTAGGTACTTGCAATTTTTTGTCAGTTAATTAATTATCAGTTTGAAAACTTCTCACACCATTGCCGCCTCTACTAAGGTTATACAATATATTTGAAGGTACTTACCTAAGTCGCAGTGGCGCACAGAAGTATTTTGAGAGCACATGCAACTAACAAAAGTGACCCACCCACCCACCCATTTTTTATTTAAAAAAACGTTCTTTTGAACTGTTACTAATTGTTTACCTATACTTTATCTAGGTACCTATAACCATAGGCGTCTATACCTACCTACCCACCCACCCCCCACGAGAGCACATGCAGTTGCACCCCTTGCTAACCTATCTGGGCGCCACTGCTAAGTCGTGAGTCAAGTGGCTTTTTTTATTGTTATTACCTATTTGATAAAATGACAATTCATTCAATTGATATGATTTTTGAGAACAGCTCATTTTTAGCCTTATTGAAGAATACATTTTTTGTGACTATTCACTAGTCACCCCATGACAAGTTGGGCTTTTGTGTTAAATACTAATACCTATAGAATTTATTAGATCAAATGGGACGGTTTATTTATAAAGCTCTCCCCTTGTCTCTAGAAGAGCCTGACAAGGTGACCGATATTAGTAGAGCTTTATAAGAACTACTAGTTTCTATATATAGAGCCTTAATTGTCAATATTGGTAGCCTCATCTGCCTATTGATGAAGTATAATTAATCAATGTTTTGCCATTGTTTGTTTGCATGTTTATAACTTCACTACCACTTACTTTTGTTACTTGGTGGCGATGAATTTACACCCCAGAAAATGATGGATTTTTTAAATTTTTATATTTTATGCAAGGTAAAATAATATAATATTTTGTTACTCTCCTAATTCCTATATCTTATACTGCCAACCTACAATTAGTAGTTAAGAGTTATAATAGTTTTCACTTGTCTGTGCTTGCGACTCAACATTCGTACTCCTAGTTACATCTTAAATATTTTTAAATACTAAATAATATGAACTACACAAACATCATGGTAATTTAAAACCATGTAGAAGGTTACTTATTAATTTCGAGTAAACATATAATTTTTATTTTGTCCATAAGCTGCTTTTTAATAAGTTGTATAGTAAAATGTCTTCATGGGTAAAAATCACGTAAATAAGGTTATGTCCCTCCATCTTTCTAAGTTTGAGTGTATACACTCAAATTAAGAACATATTATCTTATTCATCTGCACACGACATGCCTATCTCTTACATGCAACTTGTCGTTATTTTCAAAAATGTTCACACAGACAACCTCTCAAACTAAAATCAATCCAAGATTTTCTAGAAGAACAATTCAATGCCTAAGTAGCAATAAGGTTACTACAGACTCGTAACAAAGTCTGAGCCAGTACGGATTGGTGCATATTGCTGGTATACTACAAATGCTGAAAGCTTAAAATTGATCCGATGTGTATGGACACATTTCAATTTCTTCCTAAAAAATGGGAAGTAACATAATATACAAAAATACATTAATATGTATTTAATATCATTTTATTGTATTAGACATTAGCACACTAACATGGACACATGTAATGGTTAAAGATGTCAAATAATAGCACAGATTATATTTAAATCGTTTATTTCAAAAATAATAAATAACAATAATACATGTATACATAAATAAGTAAATTTAAACTTCCCAGTTGTTTAACACTTATTTTATTTTCATCCACACCATATTTTGTTCAATGAAGAAGTACACATTTTTTATTAAAACTATTGTTCTTTTTCAATTCTAGATAATTTAAAATATTACAAATATTAATTTCCTCATAAATTAAAATTTACCCACATAAACACGTAACTAATCAAATTACATTATTGAAACATTTATAGTTGGTATAAATAAAATAGAATTGAAGCAAATAAAAATATAAGGATATCCCAAATTACTTAAATTTGTTGCTTGGTATAAAAATGTATAATCATAATAATTTGAAAATAATAAATTATTTAGTTTTAATAGAGACAAATTACTTTTGTAAAAAAAAATAAAGTGAAATTGTTACAGCCTAAATTTTTTTTATGTTTTAGAATTTAAATAATGTGAAGAACATGGACATTAACTCTTTTATAATAAATCCTATATTCCTAAATTTCTTTTTAGAAAAACCAAATACTAAATCACATTTAAAATTAAAATAAAAAATCTCTTAGTAAAATGTTATTTTTGTGGGGTAAATTGTCATTCATCTAACAGCAAGGCACTATTCCATGCGCCACATACTACTTTGACGATTTTTCTTACATTGCATTTTAGCAATGGTGATAAATTACTCAAATTAATCATTCGGTCACAAGTTAGTTGGTATGTCTCGATACCAAGCTGTTTGTGAGCATTCCACCCACAACCCCAAAGTATATTGTTCTTAGATAGAACCATCGAATGTCTTGCCCCCAAACTCACTTGTTCGATATCTGTCTCTTCAGCCCAATTAATCAGTACAGGTTCTGGAGCCATTATTATACCACCATTTTCTGTAAAAATGTTATAAATTAATTTTTAACTTTTAAAATACTTTAAAAACATCCAACATGATATTTCACCTGTTTTAACTATTTTGAATATGTTTATTAGTGCCGTAAACCAAATAAAGTCATACAAAACATTCAACCTTAAATTAGTTGGTAATTAGTAAAATATCTGATACTAAAATACTAAAAATAATCCAATTATAATTTTTAAGCAAATAATTGTTTATAAAATGTATATTATTTTTTTATAAATGGTCAAATACTTAGTTGTTTTGACTTCAATTATTAAGATTTTAGCTGATGTTTTGAACCACTGCCACAGGTAATACGCATTATAATTGATTGAATAAATAATATAATATATCATTTTCATTCAAAGTACAATTATTAATTTTTATTTGTATGGCATAATTAGTATATATTTAGTACCTGGGGAATTTGAAATTCCTAGTTGCCCAGAATGATTCCAGCCCCACATGTAAAGATCATTATACTCTGTAATTGCAGCAGTATGCCAACCACCTGCAGAAGTATTAATCACTCGAATACCATCTAAAGATTTCAAAAGCCGTGGATGATTTTCTTCATTTAATTCACCATGACCTAATTGACCTCGGCTGCAAGTATTTTGTATATTTTAAAATATTTAATATATCAATTTTTATTATATTGGTATAATGAATGCTTGTTAAATTTGATACAGTATTGAGTGTAATAAAACACAAAATATTATGTGTTAAAACCAGCATACCTACTGGATCCTTGTGTATATAAGCACCCAGTTTCCATTAAAATAACAATATGCTCAAAACCACAAACTACTTGAGCGACTTTGAATTTTGAATCAAATATTCTGGTAGGAATTGAATATATTTCTAAAAATAAAATAACTTATTATCAAATTAATAAAAAACAATTTGAAACCAATGAATACCATTATGTGTAACTGCTAGATGGATTGTATCACTGCAGCATGTATAATTTATAGATGGTCGGTTTTGATTTTTGGATATAGAGACATGATTTTCTCTTTGTAATATTGGAGTAATATTTTTCCACTCGCCATTACATTTTGAATATGACCAACAATTGCCAATTAAATCAATAGCTAATATTTTCGATTCAGATGAAGAAATCTAAATGTGAACATAGTGTAATTCAAATTAAAGAGTTAAAACTAACAAGTATTAATGGCTTACAGATTTAAAAGGACCATATCCTAAATCGTCCAATACTTCAAAATTGGTAATTTTTTTGTTTATGAGACCACTCGCAAGAATTTTACCCGAACCTTTAATTAAATGTATGCAATGTTCATTAACTTGAAAAAAAAAATAATAATAGTGAATTAGATTGAATACTTGTTAAAATTGAAGCAGTGCTCCAAGAAAAATCCACTTGCAGAATTTCACCATAATCTGCTTTGTTGCCATAAGCATGAAAATCCCAGTTGACGTTCGATTCAATGTTCAATTGGTTGAACCCGTTAAATCCGCACCAAAACATACCCATGATGCTGTTTAAATATGAATCTAAGTCTGTTGTTGTATTGCAAGACATTACAATATAACAGAACATAAAATAATTTACTATTTTACAAAAAAAAAAATGAATTTTATATGACTGGCATTTTGTTCATTTTTTACATTTTTTTTGTTTTTACATTTTTTTGTTTTTTTTTTTTTTTTACATTTTTTGAGTATGTATAGATAATATATTTATTTATATATATATATTTTTTTATTTGAAGATTTATATCATATGAACACATGGGTAATTAGGCAACAGTTGGATGAAGAAGCCTTAATTTCTTCTGGTCACTTTCATCACTTTCATCATCAGCACAACATTTATTTGATACTGTATTTGTCAGGGAATTCCCCGATTCAATTGTGGAATGTCTGGCATCAGTTAGCAATAGAGATTCTTTTACAATATTAATATTTTCTTTGGTTTCATTTTCAGTTGATATAGAATGATTTTCTTTTTCGGTTGATAGCAGAGTATTAACTAGGTTGTTTGATTTATTTTCTGATGACGGACTTCTATGAGATTCTACTGATCCCAAGACAAAAATGTCATCATTCAATAATAGGCTTTTTTTAATGATATTATCATCAGTTTCATCTTCAATACTACGTTTTCTAGATGTAGGACTCTTTTGTGACTCTTCAACTAATTCTGATATAGAATGTCTACCCTCAGTTGACAATCGTGCAATAATTTTACTACCAACAGAATTTGGAATAGCTTTTTCTTTTTTCAATTCATCAGGTACATAGTCTCTCAAGTCTTTTCTTTTTAAATGATTAACTTGTATATCCATTCCAGCTTTAAAAATAGCATGAGCTCTACTTTTTACCAATAAACAGAAATCTCGGATATGAGTACTAAAATCTAATTGAACCACTGTGCCATTAGACTTAGATATTTCTAGACCAACAAACCAAACTGATGATGGCCTTCCTTGTGATTTTTCATAAGGTAGTACAAACTGGTCTGGATTTAAATGAGATCTTTGGACACATTCGATTTCTTCTAAAGATGTAGGCAAAAAACGAAGCCTTGATTCAACTAATCCTCTCCATTCAAGTAATTCTTCATCACAGTTTGCAAACACAGTTATCGCCAAGAAATATCTATATTTTGTGAAAAATTTAGATGGTTGAAAAATTTTTGACCAACTAGATTCTCCAGTTAAAATTTCGCCCATAATGTCTAGACTTGTTCTAAATTCATCTTGTATTATGGCTAGGGTGGAATGAGAAACATTAAAAGTTGAATTTTGTTGAGGATAAACTGGAGTTATAATAGGCATAACATGATTACGATCTGCCATGTTAACTCTTGGGTCCCAAACTGGATATCCGAGATCCATAAAATATGATGGTTTTAATAAGACAGGCTGAGGCCATTGCCATTTAGAAAATATTAAAAAAAATTTGTGTATTAAAGTTGCTGGTGCTGCATTTGGATATAACTGACATACTCTTGCAACTAACATTGCCCAAGAAACCCCCCCAAGGTATCCTAAAGCATTTGAGTAAACTCTATGACGTTTAGCCCATAACTTAATTGCAATTAATGTTTTCTTGAACGATTCTCGATTAGGGACTAATCGTAAAATAGAATCTGTAACACGACATCCATTTAAACTTCGTACACATTTAGGATTCAAATTTCTCAGCAGATCATCCTGTTGCAAATCAGTATCTTCGTGTACTTCTTTTAAAGCAAGACGTGCAAATAACATATCTATTTCAATGCCTTGTATTATCATTTTGATAACTGGAACGAAAGCTTCTTCAACAGCTCGGACATTGTTTATACTAGGATTTTCTTTTAATTTATTATAGAATGTTGCAAAATAATCAGCTCTAGTTATATGTCTTGGGACAATGACAATTGCATCAATATCAGCACCTTTATGGTAAACACCAAGACGATAGGATCCAAACGTGCATACTAATCCTCCAACATTTTCAGCTGTTATTTCAGGTAAATTTCTTTCCATACTAACTTCACGTATCCATTCTTTAGCCAAATTGTTAAGCATTGATAATACTTCAAGCCTTTGAGATAAATCTTCATCAGTAGTAATAACTTTTTCTCTTGAAAGAGCATCATCCAATGACTTTGTTAACTGTATATCAATGTCTGTCGGAAGAGCATCACTTATTGCCGATGTCATTCCATACATTTTAAAGGGGTTTTAGGAATAGTCTATTTAAAAATAAAAATAACTATTTTAATAGTTTTAATTACCAGTTAATATATAAAATCAATTCTTGATTTATAATATCTAATACAAATTACTGATAAAAAAAAAATCAGTCTATTACATAGTTTAAAGTAAAAATGTAACAGTTATTTAGATACTAGATACCTATTTTGTTCAGGATCTCTGGGGCTTGCTGGTTTTTGATGCTTAGTTATTTGTATTCGATTATTCAATAAGTGTATCTTGATTAAGCCCTAAAATAAAAATAAAAAATAGATAATACACACTCAATTTATTAGTATAACCTAGTTCAAGATTATAAAATTTAAAAGTGCATTTGTTAAAAGCAATAAACATGCATTTAGATAGTTGTGTTTTATTTAAATGTATTGTGCAGTTCCTTAGTTGAACTTTAAAACTATAATCTCCAAAATTAAAAAAAAAAAATGAAGTTTGATAAAGAAATTTTACATTTAAAAACAAAACATACTCATAACTATGGCTCGGAGTAGTATTAGTTGCAAATTTATCTATATGATTTTGACTTATAGCAAATCAAGGTAAAATCCATTCTATACAACGACAAGAATAAAAACAAAAATTTAAAATTTATACATTGTCAGTTTCAGAAAAAATGCATAATTTTTAACTCTCACATACCTACTTATTTATATTATTTAAAAAAAAAAGTTTTTATTTAATAACCAACATAATCTGTCCAGCAAGAGAAAATACTGTGGTCCAACAAAAATCAGTTCATTTGCTCATCTCCATACAATATGCTATAAAGGAACAGGAATGCGGCAGGGTATGGAGTGAGGATTCACAGAATCGGTAAATTCTTTTGCCTGACAGAGTATATGTTTTATATATTTACTTAATTATTTAATGCCAACATTTTCTTTTTCTTAAGATTTGTGGTAAGTAGCAAAACATCAATTAGGTATTTCAGTATACTAAAAGATTTAGAAAATTACTTGTTTTTGTTATGGATAAAACTAAACAGTATACAATTCATTAATATCATAGTTACCTATTTTTAAATAAGAATACGTATGATACATTTTTAATATACTGTTGTGTAACTAATCAGTCATTGAAAAGTTATGAATTGAAAATTTTTAATTTTTATTTTGAGAACCACCTCCATATAATTTTTTTGGACATTTCAACTTTTATAACGTCCAATCCTTAATAATAACATTCTAGATTCAAAAAACTCTAAATAAATTCTGCTGTTGGGAGCCCAAAATCAAATTTTTTAAACCTATGTAACATTATGTATGCATTTTTTTTCTGGAAAGTTAAAAGTTTGGATTGTAAGATCGATTTATAATGATATTAGGTAATTGTTATGGAATGTACTGGATCTGCAAGGTAACATAATATGTACATAGTTTCATCACATTATAACTAATTTATACGGAAAATAACTCTTTTAACATTATGCAACCCTTTATTAATACATCATAGGTCATCAGAATTGTCTGAAATATTACTTATGCTTATACAGCTTTTATACTGTAACACCATTGATTAAAAATAAATTTATAAGTATAAAATTTGGAACAACGAATGCTAGTTAAGCTCCAGAGATTCTTAGGATTTAAAATATGCAATTTATTTTTATCAAAATGTGTTTTTGCATGCTTAATAATATGACGGAGCACCTAAAAAAGTTGGTCAAATTGTTTTTGGTAGTTATGGTCAAAAAACCTCAAACTTCAAAATAATTTGCTTTATCAAACTCAACAGATAACTACCCGAAAATATTTTTTTTTTATAAATGTGAGTTGTAAACATTTTTATGGAAGAGACAAGTGGGAATACGCAAAATCACACATTTCCAAAGGTAATAACTTTAAAACTAATTCTGACCGATAATTTCTTATTGCGCCTTTAATCTTAAATTGTTAAAATACTTAGTTTCCTAAATAAAATTGCTTGGGAGCTACAAATTATTTACCAACTGTAATAAGGAGACAAATTTGACCAAGTTATTTACTGTTCAATGTAAGTACGTATATAAATTTATTAATAAATTGTTAGGTTTGCTGAATTATTTATTTTTTTGATAGATAGTTGTACTACATGATGATTTTAGCAGTACTTATTACTTAAGATGCTAATTAACTGAACTTAACAAATAAAAAATTAAAGACTTAATACCAACTTAAAATGAAAAATATACTATAAAAAATAGTTGTATATTGAGGGCAAAATTATGTTTAATAGAAAATAGGTACTTAATTAGTAACATTAATATTAATTTAAATTACCACTTTAAAAATATAATACTAATCAGTACACAGGTAGTTTGGTACATTTTTATATTGGATAGGTACAAAAACATGCAATTAAAATCATTTTAATTACCTAAATTATCCAATTTAACAAATGTAAGCAAATATTAAATGTTTAAAGAGGTAACTATTCATTCACACTTAAATATGTAATATAATAATAACCAATAAAAAAATTATAAGGGTTCAATAATCATCAATATTACCCAAATAAATACATTTTTCATTACGACTGCATAAATAGCTTAAAAATTAGTTCAAAATCAAGTCTTTAAAAATGGTGTCTAGTGTCTTCAGTCTACATTTCAATACCTCACTTCACGATTACGGACATAACATTATTGGCATCTGACCTACGTGTAGCGCGTACACGACGACCAGCGTTTACTTATAATAATGTGGTACCTATTGAATTCAAGTACATTAATGGATCGATAAGGTCTCAGTTTAAATTTAGTTAAAACGAATTGGTTGAATAGACGTCACAAATCACGATAACGCGTTTAAATATATCGCAGATGTTTAGGTGAACAACAATCGTCGAAGTTAGTACAACTTGTAATAATAGGTACCACAATACCACGCGATACGTTTTTGATAAGGCGCAGGTAAACTCACGAGTCACGGAAGGCTTTGTCTCGAAAGTGTACGTCTTAACATCTTATAAATCTACAAAAGTCGCAAACACACACTTGTTCACACTACTCTATACACAGGTGGAAATGAGAGTAACGAGGTCGTATGAAAGGTACTTACATGACCCAAGGTTCGGCGACCGTCGGATGAACACCGACAACGAAGTACACTGTACACGACCTATACTACTTGTCTGTTAAACTGTAATCAACACAATGATTTTCGTTATGGATAACGTCGAAAAAAGTCGAAAAACTGGAACAATAACAACACCGCAGGAATACAACGGCCAAATGATTAGAAAGTAGAAACCAAAAAAAAGCGTCCCTGCGCGCCACACGACAACCGGTGGTACGCAATGGACTAATAAACGGGTAGGTATACCACAACGCCACAACACTGCTCACTGATTGGTCAGACGGTGTCTCAGAGCTGCGACACTGGGACGTCCATGCGATTCGTTCGTTTTTTGGAGAGAGAAACCGACGTGGCTGACGGCCTTCCGCACCGCTTCGCAGAACGTTCTTTCCTTCTTCAGCTGCAAAAATTGGAAACGGGGCAAACGGCAGGCAAAACGCTTGGCGGATCACAATACTACGATAGTACTATTATGATTTCACGAGTTTTGAGGCGACAAAAAACAAATAAACAGTAATATTAATACAATATATTTATATAATAATAGGTATTCGCGACCGCCGTGGTAACCAGTAGACGACACGCCCCCGATAACAGTGCGACCGCATACCGCGGTTGTGTGGCGGGCAGACTCCAGCGAGTCGCGACCACGCTTCGTTGTATAACCATATTATCCTTAAAATATTGTGTTCTATCTATAAGAGAAAGTATATCGTTGTATTCTGTGCTAAATAATTAATTTGGAATAACGATAAACAATAATAATAATTTGATCTGGTTCAGCCGAGTCTAGTAAATGGTAACCCTGCATGGTCGAGCTTTTTAAAGTCAAAGACGATATACTCATATGTAAATGCATTATCTACGCATATTAATTGACCTGTGATTGTGTTATTATTGTCATTATATTTTTTTATCTATAGAATCTGTGATTTGTGAATAACAGAAATTACTACTACAGTCGACAGACTACGATTAGTACGATTAAAAACAATATTATCTTTAATCGTGCAACAGACTATATTCACTAATATTTATATTTTTTTCTCTTGTATTAATTTATTATCTTATTTTAACAATTTTACCTAACATAAGAATTTCATTTCAAACCTTGAATTTAGATTAGTCATAGACGTACGAGTTAATTATTATTTAATATTTATTATTATGTGGCCATGTCGTCATGCTTACTTTATTTGAATTTCTGACATTGAAATCAACTGTTCTGCGTTTCGTTAATCGATATTGAATTGCCTTATGCTGATTAATTTTGTCGTAAACTATTTTTCAATATGGGAATGTTATTTGGAAAACCAAAAGTCAGTCGTGTTACCGACCACGATCGAGCAGTTCTGGTAATAATAACGAATATGTATTGTTGGGCCATTGTTTTGTTTATCTACTGCATGTATTAAAATGTACTTGACATTTATGTACAATGTTTTTGAGGCTTAATTTAATTTTTAGCAAATGAAACAGCAAAGAGATACATTAAAGCGATATCAACAAAGAGTTGAAAAATTACTAGAAAATGAAAGAGAACTCGCTAAAAGACTACTGTCCGAAAACAAAAGAGAGTATGTCTAACATGATTCATTATTACATTTCAGCTTATCAAGTATAATATTTTTAAAGCTCTTAAATTTAAAAATATAAAAATCATTTAAGAATTAAGTTGCATATATTAATGAAATATTTATTTAATTAAATGTTTTAATAGTGTTACTGAATACTGAGAAAATTTGTTGAACATATTCATTTTTAATTGATTTCAATGTAATGTAAAACCAAAAGGTTCATAGTAGTAAATCCAAAATAGTGATTCAATAGGAGAAGCAAAATATTAACTCATCTGTCATAAGGGGGGGGGGAGGTTAACAGCACATTTGTTAGTTACATTTTCAATCTCTGCTCCAACATTTTAATAATTATGATGTTCATTGTTATAGAAAAGCAAAGCTATTGTTGAGGAAAAAGAAATACCAAACAGAGCAGCTCGAGCGTACTGAAGTGTCTTTGGACACAATCGAAAAATTAATTCAAGATTTAGAATATACCCAAATAGAATACAAAGTATTAACTCAGAATATTATTTTACAATTTCTACGATATATTTAATTCAATAAATTATGTATAGGTTATTGAAGGCCTTAAAGTTGGAAATATAGCCCTTCAAAAAGCGAATGAATTGTTTAATATTGAACATATTGAGCAACTTTTGGATGAAACTAAAGAGGGAATCGATAAACAAAGAGTAATTAATATTATATCTAAACATTTTATATGAATAACTAACTTTTAAGAAAATAATTTTTCAAATAGGAAATAACCGATTTACTTAGTGGATCCTTGTTATCTGAGGATGAAGATGCAGTTGAAGCTGAATTAAATGAATTAATTGCTGTAGAACATCAAAAAGCTGTTGATATGTTACCAACCGTACCATCAGATGAATTACCAGTAACTGTACCAGGTAATTATAAAGTTAAAATATTGTATTCAATACAATATACTTAAATATATGTTTCATGATTTAGAGACCAAAGAGGAAGACAAATTGCATACAAAGAAGATTGCGTTAGAAGCTCAGTAAAATTAATCATAATATTCGGTTAAAATGTTACCGAATTAAAGTAGAAGTAAATTTCTTTTTAACACATTAAAATTTTTATTTTCTGTTATTGTATATAATATTAAAAATTTGTATGTTTAACATACATATTTATTTTAAAGCTTCTTTATTATTCAATAAGTTATATTCTATAAGAGTCTAACTGTTTAAAGTTTGCAAGTTAAACTTAAGTAGTCTAAATGAACATAACAATTTTGGTTGTGTTCTGAAAATCTATTAATAACGTCACTATTCACATATTTTTAATTGTGCATTACGGAAATCACATCCAGATATTTTGAATTCGTTTTTGGTAATTTTTTAATATGTGTTTGTTTCAATTTCAAATCCATAGTTAAAAGTTGAATTGTTAAATTGTTTTAACCTTTTGAGATATAGGCTAACTGTGAGAGTACAAATTGTTGGCAATCAAATTGTGTTACACATCCCTTCCTCCCAATTTGTCGTGTTACTAGGTAAGTGAAATTAGACTTTATCCTTTTCTTTGGATGCGTTCTCTTGGTTAGGTACAATGTAATGCATAACACTGTATTTGTGTTAAATGGATTTTGTATGGATAACACGTTACTATAATGTACTAAATAGTTGAAAAAATTAATTACCTTCTGGTAGGTGCTTATTAATGCACAAACAGAACACGTTGAAATTGGAATAGTGCCTCCACATTTATATTACAATATAAATGATGAGTTATTGTTCCATATCCTGTATCCTCTATACTAGTGGGCTATAACCTACTATTATAATGTTATGCTAGATAACTTTATGAGCAGGGAAGGTTTAAATCAATCAACTTTATTACACACCTAATAAATTTCACATTGATTTACTTTTATTGACAAAAATTATTATGATAAAATATTGAAATTTTGATACATACATTTAAATATTTTATTGTGTATTAGACATCAATTGTTAAAATAATTTTCCAATAAAAATCAATATGTTATTATTAAAAATCTCGATACTTTTAGTAATAATTTTTTTAAATACAATATCAACTATTGCGAGTGTATAATCCAAATTTGTATACAATGCATTCAGATTTTTTAAGTATAAAATAAAAACTACCTTAAACAAATAATTATAATACACATTAAGCATACACGTCTTCACGGTCAGCACCAACTCCGTCTCCATCTTCTAAAGACGAGAAATTCAAGAAATGGGCAGGCCTATGAATCTCATGATAAAATTCTTTTGGATTGGCTAATTGCAATTCATACTTCATGTTTGCGTCATGTCTTACACCTAAAATTTGAATAAAAAAAATTTAATAGCGGTTCCTCAAATATTTGTAAAATATTGAACAGTCATGATCCGTGAGCAATTTACAAATGTAACATGAACAGGCAAGTAGTTAAGGGTTGATGGCTTTTAACAGATGTAGTATTTATTATATTTACCCATAAAATTATAGTTCCACGATCCTTGAGCTGGTACCATGAAGAAACCAAGGAATCTGTCTGACAACAGCATTTGTACTTTTTCATAATGGCTGGGCAAGTAGCCTTTTGGATTGTTACCTTTGTCAGTGTTTTGTCGTCCCCATTCAAAACCACTAATTTAAAATAAATTTGAAAGATTAAAATTTGAAAAGTTTAGGGAGTTAAATAATTATTTTTACCTTGGAGTCAATTTATAGGCTGTCAATGAGCATGAGCCCGGAGTAAAACTGCAAGTTATTATAACAGTTTTTTCTCCATCCCATGCCGAGTTATCAGACATAATTTTGGCATGAGTGCTTATATCCTAAAATACAAATGATGTAATTATTAACAAATTGAAAAATATATTTTAATAATTTGAATTTACTTGAGGCGATAGTTGAGGTAATTCATTGGGCTGCGTATGTATCCAACCAAGTGGTTCCATGTCATTGAGATAGTGATGGTTATTGGGTAGTTGTGATGGTACATGTATAGTTTGATGTGTACCCCATTGTGGCGGCATCACTAGACAACGGATTTCTTTCACTTGAGGGTTATCAGGAGGACTTACACCATATAAGTATGCACAAATCTAAGAAAATTAAAACATGTTCAATAAAGGCTAATATTAAATATTAATGTTGGTGCAGTATTATTCTAAATTCAATATACCTGAGCACGAAGATCAGAAATGGTGACAAACTTTTTGAGTATGTTCTTAGGTAATATATATGTGTAACCAGTCTCTTTAATGTCGTCAGACGATACATAAATATGATTAGTACGTAAATGAAGATTTGTTGCAGATATTGCACGAACTCTCCATTCAGTCTTGGAACTAAAAATAATGTGACAAATTTCAGGGTTTGTAATTTAAAAAAAATGCCATGTTTAAACTTAGAATTATACCTGAAAGTTTGAGTTTCATAATTAGAAGTAGTGGAAGTAATGATATCATCTCCATGTTTGTTCACTGTTCTAGTTGTGGTTGCTGTTAATTGCGACTGTTCTTTAGTTTGTTTCTCAATCTCGGCAATTTGCTGTCTTTGTGCTGATGGTGCACTAATCTCCATTCCCAATATAATATCTCGAATTTCTGATTGTGTTAAAGAAGCAACATTCACGCTATAATAAGACAATAATTGTTAAATTAGTTTTTTGTCAATATTTTTTAATATAATCATAAATAAAAATACATACTTATTTTTTTTTCCATAGTCAGCTAAAATCAAATCCTTGAGTTGCACTTCAACCTTAATCCATTCATCATCACTGAGGGTAGGCCAAATGTGATGTGGCTCAGTTATAGTAGTTTTGTCTGGTTTTAATATAACTTTGGTACGTTCGGTATTGACATGTAAAGCTCTTAATATCAATATTAAACGAGAAAATGCCTATAAAAAATTTCATCATTATATAATTTGAAATATGAAGTACATTAAATATTCTATTTTTACTGTGTAAGAAGAGATTGTTTTAAGCCAATCATCATATAAATTGAAAAGAACCATCTGAGGTTCAGTAGCTTTTAGTATAAGGTCACCAAACTTTTCCACCTTCAAACATGCTTGGAATGGAAGTTGTAACTCTGATCCTTTGATTACAATATTTGGGAAATCCAAAAGATGCACCTAAAATAAAAAATATTTTTATGAGTAAAAATGAATCGTATAAACTTTTAAAAAAATTTACCTCAAGAGGATCCAACATTCCTTTGCGTGTAACGATAATTTGTTTAGGCTGTTCTTCAACAGGCAATGAACGAATCAAAGCTGCCACTTCTTCGGCTGTTTTCCATTTAGCTAACTAAGGAATTAATATTTGGATTTGAAGGTTAAATAAATATTAAATAATAATACATTATAATAAAATAATATTTACTTGTCCTAAACGTTTCTGCCCAGCCCATACTGAGGTATGAATTATTTTCAAAAATAGTTGTCCAGTACGTGGGTTAAATATGAAAATAGCTCCATTAATGGGCTTAGTTGTCAAATTTCCTTCAAAAGTTTTATGAATTGTTACTCTGTAGACATTTGTATCATCCACAAACCTTAAATCAAATAACATATAAAATAGATTAGAAAAAATAATTATAAAAAAATTAAATTTTTGCTGATGATGTTACAAGTTAGTATGGTATTTAATATGACGATTTATTGATAACTTATGAATAGGATGAATTACCAAATAATTTGATTAGAAAACAGTTCACCATAATTCTGACTTGATAAGTATGGTTCTGTAGGTTCAGAAGAATACAATTGTAGAGCTTTTCGAATACGTTCTCTCAAAACATATAGAGCCGGATTTGCTTTCATAATTTTAGCCATAGCTTGTTGGATCAAAGGCTTGCAGCCAGGGAACCAATTTCCATAAGCACTAAAACAATTAAGCATACATAAATAAAACATATTACATCTTTTATTAAATATAGATTAAAATATTATTGAGTGGATAAAAATCAATTTGTCATAATATATAATTACCTGTGTAAGTTGTATGCCAAATCAATTGCAATGAGTACACCAGTGGGTGATGGATAAATAGACATATTATCAGTAGTATAATCCAGAAATTTGGCTCTCGCATAACGTTCAACATCGTGTGAGTCATAGTCACCCCACCTAAGTTGGACATCTAACCAATATTTCTGTGTAGTTGTGTTATCCATTGTATCTCTAAAATAAGTTGTTTAAGCAATATTAATAAAAAATAATTTTCTTAAAATGTTTTAATTACTTTGAATCGGCGAGAAGCGAGGGTCTTGAAACATTCCATTTATAAGCAGCAAAGAGTAAGATATCAGCACAAGATGAATTCATTTTGTATGATTTACGTGGATGAATAGTTTCTTTTTGAACAGTTTCAATTTCTAACGCGTCAAGTTCTTGATCAAAAACCTACGTATTGTATAAATAAGTTAAATAGATTTTTCTTTAAGTGGTTTTGTAAAAATTACTTACTTGACAAAGATCCATAACAATAGATTCATGGACTTTTTGCCACAAATGAGCCCTGAAAATTTGAATCAGGGAAATTTTGAGAGTAGGAATTTTACCATGCATAAATATTCCAGTCAAATCAAGTTGAACTTGGAAACCAACATAAACATTAGCACGGTTGATAGTTGGTGACCACCATAATGTAAAACGACGATTAGGTATTTGATTTAAACCAGAACGTTGAGCATTGGTCAATTTTTTATACTTCATTGATTCCTCAAAACCAGATGCCTTCTCCCTAGAAATAAATAATGAGTAAATATAATACAATACAACTTAATGTATTATAATTTTTTTACCAAAATAGACCTTCCCAAGTTGGGAAATAGGTTCCTTTGAATAAAGTATGTTCCAATATACCCTCAACACCTCCCAAAGCTTGAATCATATCAGTTCGGTAATTGTTCAAATTCCATAATTTACCATCATGTCTTTGATGAGTCCACCAGAATGGATTCTGTTTTAGAACCTGAATTGAAATAATTAAATATAATAAATACTTATTAATTATTACTAATAATGTAAAATAATTTTTTAAAAATTTAAATATTATTTAGCTCTAAATTAAATATTTACAATTACTTAACTTTTTCATTTAAATATATTTTTTTTTATACCAAAGAACTACGTTATTACTATTGATAATTACACTACTTTCAGAATTT